GGTTCTGTCGAACCCAGCAAACTGGGTTCAATGGCCTGGCCCAAGGAAGAAGAGGAAGAAAAAAGAGGAAGAAGAGGAAGAAAAAGAGAAAGGAAGAAGACAGAATTTTTTTATTTTTTATTTTTAAATATAAATAGTAATCATGAGTTGGCATAAAAAAAATCCACATCATAAAAAAAAATCCACATCAACACGTTTTCAATTTGTTTTGCCACGTCATAAAAAAAAAATAAAAAATGCCACAAGAGCGAGTTAACGATCGAAATTAACAGAAGGACTAACGGAGTGCATTTCTTAAAGTTTAAGGATAAAAAAAATGCAAAAAATTATTGAGGGACCAAAAATGTGCAACTCACTAAAGTTGAGGGACCAAATTTAGCATTTAATCATTTTTCTTTCCTTTATAAAATATTGAAACAATGTCTGCAATCACCTGAAATAATTAATTTATTAATTGAGAAACTAACTAATCATTGAAAATGACAATCATATTTGAATCCTTAACCATATAGAGATATATAAGTGCTTATTTTTAAAAATTAAATTAAATTAAGAGATATTATTCAAAGATTATGTTGATTTAATAACTTTTTATTGAAAAAATTAACCTAAAACAATATATTTTTAAAATATCAATGAGATTATTTTTAGTTTTTTCTCATATTATTTTAATAAAATAACATAATTTTAAGGTGATTTTACTTTAAAATTTCAAGAGGTATAGCTGATAATACTATTATATTGAGATCATAAAAGTTTCAAGGATTACCATAAACCACCTTGCTTCGCTTTGCATTTGAAGAACCGGATCAAAGAAATGATGAGTATGAGGAGAGCTGGGAGGTAACTTTGCGGCCAGATGTAACATATTGTTTTGGTCGTTTTATATGGTAAACCCCGTTATGACCCTCGCTGGATCGAGTCTATAAAGAAACTTCGCAATTTCCTTTTGACGATGTTCTACAGCATACATTAACATGCCTCTTGGCCGTTCGGGATCAGTATGGCTCCAAACTATATCAGGATTAGCTTCTGAAATTTGTTTTACAAAGTCAAGGTAGCCAAGCTCGATAGCTGTGAAGGTAGCTTCCTCTGCTCCATTGCTAATAAGTTGCTCTCTTTCTAAAGTTGACAGTTGATCACATATGAAACTTACCATCTTACGGGCTTTGGCTGGGTCATACTTTAGATCATATGGTAACCATTGACCTAGTTAAGAGCGAAAATTGTGTACAGCAAGGAAATTCAAAAGTTAGTGGTTAATTATCAATTTTTATGGCAAAATAACAAAAATATATCAATTGAAATTTGTAATAATTAAAGAAAGAGAGAAGAGAAGTGTGTTTACAAAATCTATATATAAGCCCTTCCCCAAATAAAACAAGCTTGTGCCCAGCAAACAATGATGATAGTGTTTCGACCAACACTGAAATAACAGGGGTAGGTTCCAAAGAGCTTTTGTGAAATGTCAAATCTGGAAATTTGCGCAGCAGATCGAGTCCAATATCTGATTCAAAAATACCAGTTTTTTTGAGAAATGAAGGTGAAATAAATGCTTGCATGCATATATAGCAAAGAGAAACAGACAAAAAAGTAAAATTTACAGCTCTCTTACCAAACATATGGTTC